CCCCGGTTCCCGGTTAACGGCGACCCGCAGGCGCTGCTGGTGCCCGGGAAGAGCCCGTCGCGGCGGCGGCCCGGGCCGCTCGCCTCCCGCCGCTCCAGCGCCATCGGTATCGAGAGCATCCAGGAGGCGCCGGCCGGCAGGTGAGCTCCGGTACCGGGACACCGGGCTGGCACCGTCCGGTGTCCCCTCCCGGTGTCACCTCACTGCCCGCCGCCTCCCCCCCAGGGACGGCCCCGCCGCCGCCCCCGCCGCCCCCGAGGGCGCCTGCTCCGCACACAGCTCCCCCGAGAGCCGCCGGCACCCCGACAGGTCCCGCACCGGGATGGGGGGGCACCGGGACAGGGTGACACGGGGACTGGAGGGCACTGGGATGCGGCAGCGCGAGGACGGGGTAGCACTGGGACATGGTGGCACTGGCACAGGGTGGCACCAGCATGGGGTAGCACCAGCATGGGGTAGCACCAGGATGGTGTGACATGGGGACAGGAGGGTACTGGGACAGGGTGACATGGGGACTGGAGGGCACTGGGATGGGGCAGCGCAAGGACAGGATGGCACCAGCACAGGGTAGCACAGGTATGCAATGGGCCAGGGTGGCACCAAGATGGGGTGGCACCGGGATGGGGTGATATGGGGACAGGGTGGCATCAGGGTGACACGGGAACTGGAGGGCACTGGGATGGGGCAGCGCAAGGACAGGATGGCACCAGCACAGGGTAGCACAGGTATGCAATGGGCCAGGGTGGCACCAAGATGGGGTGGCACCGGGATGGGGTGATATGGGGACAGGGTGGCATTGGGGTGACACAGGGACTGGAGGGCACTGGGATGGGGCAGCATGTGAATGGGGTGGCACTGGGACAGGGTGACACTGGGATGGGGTGGCACGTGGACAGAGTGGCACAGGGATGCGATGGGACAGGGTGACACTGGGATGGGATGACACCGGGACAAGGTGGCACCAGGACGGTTGGCACAGGGTGACAAGACAGCACAGGGATGGGGTGTCGCAGGGACAGGGTCACCCAGGAACCTAGTGGCACAGGGACTGTATGTCACGGGGACAAGGTAGCAGGGGGCTGCAGTGGGGTGGGGTGGCACAGGGATGGGGTGGCACTTGGGTGGCCTGGGCACAGGGTGGCATGGGATGGGGGTAGCTTGGGGTTCGGGTGGCGCGGAGGTGGGGTGGCACAGGGGTGGGTGGCACGGGGACAGGTTGGTACGGTGACAAGGGACATGGGGATGGGTTGGCACGGGGACGGGGTGGCACGAGAATAGGATATCACAGGGATGGGATGGTGTTGGGGACAGGACATCCCAGGGATGGTGTGGTGACAGGGTGGCACGGGAATGGGATGGTGTGGCACAGGGATGGGACATCCCAGGGACGAGATGGCATGGGGGTGGGTTGGCACGGGGATGGGGTGGCACAGGGACAGGATGGTGTGGGGACGGGGTGGCACAGGGACAGCGTGGCGTCACGGCGGGCCATGGCGGCGGCAGCCACATGGCGTGGTGCCAGCCTGTCCCTGGCATTGGGAACCATCACTCGGCAGGGCTGAGAAGCCGGAGCCGCCGGATTTCTCCCGCTCCTCCTCCAGCGCCAGCAGCTTCGGCAGCGCCACCGAGGAGCCCAGCGAGCCGGGCAGGGTACTGGGGTGCTGGGAGGGGGATGTAGGGTGCTGGGGGGGCGGGGGGGGGCAGCACCCCTTTGACACACCCCCTCGCACCCTTAGGAGAGCCGCTCACCCTCGGGGACCCACCGCGACGCCTTCACCGACACTCCCTGGCCAGATGACCCCCCCGGTATCCCCCCAGGTAGCCCATCACTGGGGCGTCAGGCCGCTGCGGGGCCGGGGGAGCCCCCCACTGGTGCTCATGCCCCCCCCTTTTCCCCCAGGCCACCGTCCCCCTGACCCCCCCTGCCCCGAGATCAAAATCCAGCTGGAGCGGCCCCCCCAGAATCCGGTGAGGCTGTGGTCCCCCCCCCAGTGCACCCATATTGGGGGCGCCCATATTGGGGTGCACCCACTGATGTCCCTCCACACAGGGTTCATAGTTACAGTCCCCCCCATCCCTGGAGGCGGCGGGGGGGGTGGGGTGGCACCGCTTCACCCCCCTCCGTGTTCCACCCCTGTGCCAGGAGCCGAAGCCATCATCCCCAGTGCAGGATTTGGGGGGATCCCCCCAAAAATGGGGGTGTTTCCCCCCCCCAGACAATCTCCATCACCCCAACTACCCCTTGGGGTGTGTGATGGACCACGAAGGGCCCCCCACCCGTCCACCGTGACCCCAATGCCACATGGGGTGGGGGCTCCCCCAAAATGAAAAGCGGGTCCAACCCGAGCATCACCCCCTCCCTAAAAAAAGGGGGGGCTCAAATCCAGGGCAAATCCAAAGTGGGGGTCCCCCTGCACCCCCCCCCTTTTATTTTAAGGGAAAAAAGCTCCGGAATGGGTTGGATGCTGGAACTGGGGGGGAGGGAATTATTTTTTCAAACAACCCTCCTCCCAAATCGTGTTTGTGTGTCCCATAAGTCCTGTATAAAATAAAGGTTTATTTATCGCTACGGCTGGGAAATGCTGGAGGGCGGGGGGTCCTGACATCTGGGGGAGGGGGAATCCCCAAGCATCAGCTGGGGCTGATGCTCCACATAGTTTTAAAACCACCCCGAATTCACCCATTTTGGGGAGTCATTTACCCAAATTCTGGGGCTATCATGGCAGTCAGGCCGAGCAAAGCCTTGATTTGATTTTCCCTATTTTTGGGGTGCTGGGGTTAACCCGAAACAAGGAAGGATCCCCCCCCCCCCAAAAAAACCCACCACCCCCTTATTTTCAGCTCTGGCGGTCAACCAGGCGTCGGGAGCGGCATTTGGCCAGCAGCCCCGGCGGCCACCGGCTTCACGCCAAATCCCCGGCCAAGAAAAAATGGTCGTCCCCCCCCCCCCGAACCCCCAAAAACCACGAAGCACCCCGGGACCGGTTAAACATAGCTTGGTACCGCCTGGTTTCTGGGAAGCCCCAGTGCCAGGGGTTGGCTCGCGGTTGGGGATGCCGGCGACGCCGGCAATGCCGGTGCAAAGGGCGCCGAGCAAAGTGGGGGTGTCACAGGGCCCCCCCACCCCTGAAATCCGGCGCCGCTCGGGTCACTGCCTTCGCCCGCTCCAAAGTTTGCCGGTTAATAAAAAACCGGAGCAGAGATTTATTTATAATGCTGGTAAATAAATAAAAGGCGGGGGGGTGATTGGAGGGGTGCAGGGGGGGTGTTTTGGGGGTGATTGGGGGGGGAGTGTTGCAAATGCACAATGCAGCCGGGGTGTGCAAGGGGCTGCTCGTGCATGAGCAAAGTGGTATTTGCAGAGGCAGGGCAACGTTTGCACATGCATGGTGACTTTTGCACGTGCACAGCGGCGTTTCACACGTGCGCAGCGACTTTTGCGCAGGCAAGGCGGCATTCGCACGTGCAAAGCACCTTTTGCGCAACTCAGGCAGCGTTTGCACGGGCACAGTGACATTTGCACAGCCAAGGCCCCTCTCTGGTGCTACCTCAGGCCTCAATCCCCCCCTCCAGCAGCTTGTAAGCTGCCAAAGCCCCCTCCCCTAATTACCCCACTCCCTAATTACCCTCCCTAATTAGCCAACCCTAATGAAGAGGGCATGCCCCAGCTGGTACCACCCCTTAAATCCCCCTTCACTCCCTTCTCCCTGCGTTACCCAGTCCCAAAACCACCCCAAATCCCTCTCTGGGCAGCAAATGATCTTAAACCAAAGGCCTTTAAAGCAAAATAAATCACCCAGGAGGCAAAAAAAAAAAAAAAAAAAAAAAAAAAGAAAGAAGTTTTGGGGACAAATTAACCCGGTGAGTTAATTTTTTTTTTTCTCCCCCCATCTTCTTGTGTCTTGTGGTTTCTGGGTACCCACACATGTGATGAGTTGGGCACCAAGGTCAGTCCTCAGCCAAGGGACCAGGAGGCATTTTGGGACCCAGCCCCATCACGTCTCGCTCAAAGAGGGGGTTTTATCCACCGCGGCTCCAGCTCTCATCCCAAATCCCACAGTGGGTTTGGGATAGGGCAGGCAACGATGCTAATTATAGGGGAAGGAACCGTGTATTTACAGAGGCAGCTCCCAGCACGAAACCGCTGGCGGCTGCTTTTGCTCCACTGAGTCTTTCTTTTTCTCTCCTCTTTCTGGGCGCTGCTATCCACAAAAAAAAGAAAAAAAAAAAAAAAAAAAAAAAAAGGGAGGAATTAAAAATAAATCCCCCTCCATGGTTTGCAAAAGGCGCTTTAGCAGAGGAGGAAGAGGAGAGCGAGGAAGGGCAGGAGGATGGTGGTGGCAGGGCGGCTGGCGGCGTTGCAGTGGGCTCTGTTGGAGCCAATGCAGGCGGCGTAAGCCATGGCGTGGGGGATGTAGTTTTGTTCGTGGACCCCGTGGAGGAGATGAGCCATGGGGCCGCGGGCGAAAACGGCCACGTCCTCACCGCCGTGGGTCTCCTGGCGCAGCGGCACGGCCGATTGTGCCTGGTAGTTGGCGTGCGCTGGGGCAAAAGAAAAAAGTCAAAAAGAAGAGTAATTTTTAAAAAGTGCTAACTTTAGCTAGGCTGTAACAATTGGGGGGGGTTTGCCCCAGAAGACACTCACCAAAATCCACGGCGGAGACATTTTCTCGCTCACCCGCCACAATTTTATAGCCGGGGCCATTGCCGTAGAGGATGGAGGTGAAGGGTTTGCGGTCCACATCGCTCTGCATCGGGGCCAGACCTGGCGGCAGTGGCACCGTCAGCAGGACAGGGACGTCCCCGAGGTTTTGTCCCCTCCGTCCCGCTGAGTGGCCATGGCAGGGACTCACCGAAAATGGGGTTCCCGCGGGGGGTGTAACCGCCGAAGGTGAAGACGTGCGAGTGGTCGGCGGTGACGACGCTGAGGGTGTCCTGGGGTGAGGTGAGGCGGGCAGCCAGCCCGATGGCCCGGTCCAGCTCCACTGCCTCGTGCAGCGCCTGCTTCGCCTTCCCTTCGTGGTGCCCGTGGTCGATGCGGCCCCCTGCGGTCCCCGGCACCACTCGGCATCCCCCTCCGTGGCCCCCATCATCTTCCATCCCCCTCCTTGACATCCCCCATTGCCCTCCTCTTCCCTGCTTTGCATCCCCCATCACCCCTTTATCCCCCTCCTTTGCAGCTGCCGTTGCCCCCTTTATCCCCCACCTTTTGGCATCCCCCATCGTCCCCTTTATCCCCCCCTTTTTGCATCCCCCCTTGCTCCCTTCATCCCGTCGCCCCCTTTATCCCCCACTTTTGGCATCCCCCTCTGCATCCCCATCACCTCCTCTACCCCCTCTTTGCACCCCCACACCCCTCCCACCTTCAACCAGGAGGAAAAACCCCCGGGGATTTTTCTGGAGCATCCTGATGGCCACAGCCACCATCTCGGTGAGGGACGGATCCGTCTCATTATTCCTGTCCAGCTCATACACCATGTCACCCGGCTCGAAGAGGCCTGGGGACAGTAACACTGTTGGGGACATCCTTTCCCCACCAAAAAAAAGGGGGGAGGGGCAAATCCAGCACTGTCACCCGCTTCTTGTGCTGGCTCAAGCATTTCACCACCCCCCCCCCCCCCGGATCCAAGGTGATAAGGTAGGAACCAGGGGATACTCCCAGCCCTTCCTTCCTCTGGCCTGGCCAAATCCTGCAGGCCAGCTGGGCTGGGGAATTGCACCATGGCCTGAAAAATAAGGTGCATCCCCAGGGCAGGGTACCAGCATCCTTGGGGTGTAACAGCATTCCTTGAGGATGGGTACCAGCATCCCCAGGGTGGGTAGCAGCATCCCCAGGGTGGGTAGCAGCATCCTTTGAGGGGGGGTACCAGCATCTTTTTGGGGTACCAGCATCTTTTTGGGGTACCAGCATCCCTTGGAGGTAGCAGCATCCTCGGGGGGTAACTGGCCACTCCAGCTGCCCCAGCACCCCGGGACTGGCTAGGGGTCCCCCCAAAGCACCCAGTTGAGGCCGGGGCACCCTGGGGTGCTGGGACTCACCCAGGAGGAAGTCAACACGGCTGAGGTTGAGCGCCAGCAGGTCCCGCCGGTGCCACACGTACTTGGCGACCTGGGGATGGGGGACAGGCAGGTTGTCACCTCCCCATCACCTCTGCCAACCCCAGGGCTGCTTTATATCCCCCTCCCCAAAACATTCCCCGCCCCAGGAATGCCTTTGTAAGGTTACAGCGAGGTGATGTATAGGTACCCCCCCCAAAAAAAGTCCCCATCACCTTGCCGGGGGGCTTGGCCTCATGCCATGCCTGGACGAGGTCCCTGCGGTCCAGGCGGGTACCCCGATGCTTGTCCTCGTGGGGATACTCCACGTCACTGGCATTTTTGGGGAACATGTATTTCCGCCCACCACCCAAGATCACCTGCAAAGGAGGGCGGAAGTGCATTTTTAAAAATTATTTTTCATTATTCTTTTTTCCCCCAATTTGGGTTTAATGGGGGGAAAACCCCAATGAGATGGAGTGGGATGTCCAGGAAAACCCCAGTGCTGCGCAAAAAAGCTGGTGAAAACACCCGAGGAATTTCACCTCGCTCAAAATAACCCTGAATCTCTTCCTATTAATTAAAACCCAGGACAAAAATAACCATTTCCAGCAGCAAATCTGGCTTTTTAATTCCCACCTCTCCCACACCCTCCCCCCCATCTGTGGGAGGGATGCTCCACGTCGGGGTCCCCGCATGAACCCGCCGGGACGGAGCCCCATCCCGCGGCTTTTGCTGTTTGCTTTGGAGTCCAATTTATTTGGCCTCTGTTATTTATAACTGAGCAGAGATTTTTTTTATTCCCCCCCTTCTCTACGCAGAAGGTGAATTATAAAGCTGCAAAACACCACCGCCAAAATTATTAAGAGAAAAAAAAGGGAAAGAAAAAAAAAAAGTCTTTTCCCCGCTATATAATTATTTCCAGCCTGGGACAGACTTAAAATTACATTAAAGGGAAAAAAAACAGAAGAAGAGGCTATTAAAGAGCTAAATAACAGGCTGAAATGTTTTGCTTTGGGGCTATTTTGAAGGACAGAAGAGTATTTATTTACAGGGCTGAATTTCTGTGTAAATCCACAGCGAGGGGCAGAATTGGGGGGAAAATGGAGGGGTTTGGGTAGGGGAAGTATGAGAAAGGAGGGGGCTGCTGTGGACGTGGGTGGAGGGGGGTTAAGCAGGATTTGGGGGGCTGGTCCTATATGTGCTTGTAGTCCCAGCACTGTGTCTGATGGGGGTCCCAGTGGTGTGTCCATGGGTGGTCCTGGTCCAATATCCACCCAACAGGCCTGGTACCCCACCCATAGGTGGTCCTGGTCCCATATCTGGCTGGGTTCTGGCACTGCACCCATGGGTGGTCCTGGTCCCATATCTGCTGGCGGTCCCAACTCTGCACCCATGGGTGGTCCTGGCCCCATATCTACCCACGGTCCTGGCCCTGCACCCTTTGGTGGTCCCTTCCCTACATCTCCTGGGATTCCTGGCTCTTCACCCACTGGTGGTTCCAGCCCAACGTTTACTGGGGGGTCCCAGCCCTTCATCCATGGGTGGTCCTGGTCCCGCATCTACCCATGGCCCTGTCCCCATCCCCGGCTGGCCCCATCCCCATCCCTACCTCGATGTCAGGGATGTTCTCCACCAGCTGCCGGGCAATGTCCTTGCAGCCGCCCTCCAACGCGTCTGGGGGCATCTCTCCATCCGAGTACCAGTCGCGGTTGGCCGAGTGGGCGTAGGCGGCGCTGGGTGTCGCGTGGGTCACCCGCGTGGTGGTGACAATGCCCACTGACTTGCCTGCACCACAAATTCAGGGGACAATGGTAAGAACACCCCCAAAACTCCCTGCTTTACCCTCTCCAAGTGCCCACCAGCCCCTCACCTCCATCTTTGGCCCAGCGGAGGATGGAGGTCACCTCCTGGCCCTTGGTGGTGTTGCAACGGTCACGGGTGACACCGGCACTGACGCCCACCGTCCCCTCGTTGGCTTTGACGCCGCAGAGGTAGGCGGTGGCTGTGCCCGCGCTGTCGGGCACCTGCGCGTTGGTGTTGTAGGTCTGGGGTGGGGGGAAAATAAATAAACCATCATCCCCATCATCCCCACCCTGGGGCTTCATCATCATCCTCCCCACCCTAGGGCTCCCCTCCCCATGCTGTTTGGTCGCACCGGCCCCCCCGTCCCACCTGTGCACCCCCCATTTTGCCTCTCGCTCCCCCCAGCTTGGTTGCCCATCAACCCCTCGCTTCATTTTGATGCTTTCAGCCTTTTTTCAGCTTGCTTGTAGGCAGGGAGAAAGGAGCCACCGCCATGAGCATCCCCCGCCACGGGGCAAAGGGAGACAGCGGTGAACGGCCAGGACTTCCAACTTAATAATGAAAAAAAGCCTTTTGTTCAGAAAAATGACGCCAGGAGAAGCTGGGGGGGGTTCCCATAGCTTCCCACGGCCGGGTGGCCTCATACTGCTCCCCCCCCACTCCACATTCCCACGGGCCAAACCCTGGCACGACGAGCGGGCACCGGAGCCAGCTCCCTTCACCCGCCCCTGACCTAATTTCGCCTCTCTGGTCGATGCCGGCTACCCGCCCGTGACCTTGTGGTGGGTGTCGCGTCCCCACCATGGGCATCCCAGAGTGGGGGGTTCAGGATCCGACCCCTCACCCCAGGGGGGGGCTCACCTTGGCCAAGGCAACGTAGGGGAACTTGTCCATCTCCAGCAGACTCTCCTCGCCCTTGCGGTTTTGCAGTTGCCCTTTGAGGATGCGAGCGGCCGTGACGGTGGAGACGCCCATGCCTGCCAAGGCACCCGTCAGCTCCCCGCCGAGGACGGGCCAGCTCGCCGCACGGGTGTCACGCAATGCTGGCGGGCACCCAGTTTATCCCAGCACCCGATTTATCGCGAACCCAGTCTACCGCGGCACCCGCTTTAGTGCAAAACCAATTTATTGCAAACTGAGTTTGTTGCGGCACCTGGTTTATCGCAGCACCCAGTTTATCACAGCCCCCAAGCTTTTGCAAGCCCAGTCTATTGCAGCACCCAGTTTATCGCAAACCCAGTTTATCCTAGAACCCAGTTTATTGCAAACCCAGTTTATCACAGCACCCAATTTACCGCAAACCCAATCCATCCCAGCACCCAATCCATCCCAGCACCCAATTTATTGCAAACCCACTTTATCGCAGCACCCAGTTTACTGCAAACCCAGTTTATCCCAGCACCCAGTTTACTGCAAACCCAGTTTATCCCAGCACCGGCTTTAATGCACACCCACTTTACCATGGCACCCAATTCACCGTAGCAGCGCCCGCTTCAATGCACCCAATTTATCATGGCACCCAATTTATCACGTCACCCACTTCATCGCACCCCCTGTCCCCTGCAGTCCCTGCTCCTCCTCGCCTCCCCCACCCCGGGGTGGGTGCCCCCATCTCACCGTCACCCAGGAAGAGGATGAGGTTCTTGGCCACGTTCTGGTTGAGGCGCTGGAGCCGCAGGGCGGCCCGCAGGGTCTCCTGTGCCTGCCCCCGCCAGTACTCAGGGTCCTTCTCCCTCTCTGCGGTGGGGGGGGAGAGGAAACCAGGCTCCATAGCACCCAACAGCACCCACTTTTGGGGTGCTGCCCCCCCACCTCCCCCAAACCTCACCTACCGGGGACCAGAGATGGTGAGCAGAGCTGGGCGAGGAGGATGAGGAGGAGAACCTTCATCCTGTGGTGCTGAGCAGGTGCTGGATAGGAGAGAGCTGCGGCGGAGGTGGGTATCTGGTCCGTGCCTCAGTTTCCCCACTGAGACCTTCGCCCCGGGGCTCGGCCAAGCGAGGATGGGAGGGAAATGTCCCCTCCCCGTGCAGGCACCAATGTGACCCCCTGGGAACGTGCCAGCTTCCTCCCCCTCCATGGCCACCAGTCCCATGGGGCGTCACCTCACTGGCACCAACCTGGGGCTGGGGGACGGTGGCACGGCCCCCATGTGCGTGTGGCACAGCGGGATCCCTGTTGCGTGGCTGGGTCCCCATCGCATGTCCCTGTCCCCATCACGGTTGGGTCCCCATTGCACATCGGGGTCCCCGTCGCGTGGCCATGTCCCTATAGCATGGCCCTGTCCCCATTGCATGGCCCTGTCCCCATTGTATGTCCCTGTTGCACACCCATGTCCCATCACGTGTGTCCCCATCCCATGCCCATGTCCCTGTTGCACATCTGCGTCCCCATCGCACACCCGTGTCCCCATTCCATGTCCCCACTGTGTGTCCATGTCCCCACTGTGTGTCCATGTCCCCATTCAACACCCATGTCCCCTTCACATGCCCCTCTTCCCATCCCCAGCCTGTGTCCCCATTGCGTGTCCACGTCCCCATCACACGCCCATGTCCCTGTTGCTCGTCTGTCCCCATTACACACCCATGTCCCCGCCACATGCCTGTGTCCCCATCACAAGTCCATGTCATTGCTGTATGTCCATGTCCCTGTCCTGTGTCTGTGTCCCCACCACATGCCTGTGTCCCTGTTGCTCACCCGTGTCCCCATTGCACACCACGTCCCCGTTGCGCACCCGTGTCCCCATCACATGTCCATTGCATGTTTGTGTCCCCACCACATGCCTGTGTCCCCAGTGCACACCCATGTCCCCGTCACACCCCCGTGTCCCCATTGCATGTCCGTGTCCCTGTTGCACACCCATGTCCCCGTCACACCCCCGTGTCCCCATTGCACGTCCGTGTCCCTGTTGCACGCCCGCGTCCCCATCGCACACCTGTGTCCCATCACACGTCTGTGTCCCCA